CCCTTGGCCTCATGCCCTCAGGCCTCCCTCCTGCCACCCCACCTCAGCGCTGGCAGGCTGTGCCGTTTTCAGCAGGTCCGAGACGGCGCTTGCCAGGTTCTTGGCTGCCTGCAGAAGCTGCCGCCCATTCCCTCCCTCGTCCTCCATCAGCGCAGCCAGCAGCTTCACGCCCTTGGACATCTCCGTCAGGTTCGAAGAGATGGTGGTGACGGCGCAGCCCACGGCGGTGTAGTCTGTGTCCGCTGGATCCCCTGCACAGGGAGGAGACAAGTCAGGATGGGATGTGCTTCAAGTGATGCTCCAAGAGCATCCCCGCGCCTGTTACCAATGTGGTTCTCCTTCCTGGGAGCCACAGGAGAGACCCTCTGGCTCCTAAGCCTGAAAGGTGGTCGCATCAGCTGAGTTTGGGCAAGAGAGCCTGGGGAAAGAGAGCTGCACCAAGCTATGGCTGTGCTGGACAACATGCTCCTGGTCCAGAGGATGGCTGGTCAGCCAAGGACTGGAAGGACTGGGCTGGGCACAGGCAGGGATCTAAAGGCAAGGCGAGCTGCGGGGGCATGGCCAGCTCTACCAGCACGTTAGCAGCAGTCAGGGCTGATTTAGTTCTAGCTGGGGCAGGCTGGCTCCTCCAGTCTGTGATGGAGGACAGGAGCCTTCAGCCAGACAAGAGAGACCAAGCCTTCTCTGGAGATGAGGCACCCCTTTTCTCCAATCCTCCACATACCTGCAGTAAGGTTGACCACCGAGGCTGTGCCGGCAGTGATAGCATCCACTTGGGAGTGGATCTCATGCTTTGACTCATCCATCTTGTTTTTGCGCCAAGCTTTGGATGCCTGAAATGGGGAGAACAGGGTCAGGAGATGGTGGTGGAGGTGGTGGGTAGCTGCACCCATGCTCACACAGAGAGATGCAGGAAAAAGGAGACAACGAAGAAGGAAGGAAGAGCTGTGACCACCCATACTTGGTGGCCAACGCTTGGCCCATCTTGACCAAGCAACGTGACCAAGCGTCCCCTCCACTCCCCCTAGAGCGGGATACAACCCCACCTCTTTGCAGGCAGCAGATCTTCCCAGGAGCTGCTGACACTTCTCCCGGGAATGCGGCCAGCCTGACCCAGCCCAGCCAATAACCTCCAGCGAGGTCGCCTCCCAGCACCCCGCCTTCACCCAGCACTCACAGCATCCTGCCCGAGGGGTGGCAAGGTCTCGAAGTCATCCAGCGTGGCCTGGGCTGCGTGCACAGCCTGCATGCTGGAGTTGATGGTGCCGGTCAGGGCTTGCTGGGCTGAAGTCTACAACACAGGGACAGATTGAGGTATAGAGGAGGCTGAAAATCTAGGCTTAAATATTTGGCTCACACACCCCCTCCCCAACATGGTGGAACGTGCTGTTGATGACAGTGGTCTAGGTAGGCGCCTCCACAAAAGGGGGTGCACCTAGCAAAAAGGGGATCTCCCCTCTGCACCTTCCACTGGGAAATGCCCCATCCCACCGTGGGTACAAGCGAGTCTCACAGTTAACCAGCTCTTGGGGAGTGGGGAACAGAGGCAATGGGACCCCACAAGGCTTTTACAGCAAGCCCCACAGCAAAGGGCCAAAGAAGATAGCCTCCTCGTTGCCTTTTCCAAGCACTTCTCCAGCTGCAGAGGATGTGGGGGACACCAAAGCCAGGCACAGGGCTCTGCTGCAAACCACGCGCTGGTGGGGCTGGCCAGGCACAGCAGCTAGGGGCAGCTCAACCTGAACGAGACGCTGCAGCCGGCGGCCAGAGGAAAACACCAGGGTGTAGCTCAAGTTTGCAGAGTAGGTGCAGGAGGATGCCAGCTCAGCCAGGCCAGCAAGTGCACGAGGCCAGTGACACAGAGCCCCTGCTCTTCACAGCAAGCCAACGCCTGGCCACAGACCCAAATGGATGGGTCTACACGAGCCCCATGGACACCTTTCAGAATTCGTGCCCTACAGTGGGCAGGGGGAGAGCTTACCAGGGGAGGCATGTGCCCTCGGTGCATCTGGCCACTGGTGATTTGCAGCTGAGGCTGCGGCATCGTGCCCACCTGGAAGTTTTCTGGCCCTCCAGCCCCTGTCCGCATGATGGCTGGCAGGGCCACCGAGCCCAGCTCCGCCTTGCCTACACGGTTAAACTGCTGCTGCAAGACAGTCGACCTGAAACAGGGAGAAATACCAGGTCAAGGGATGCCCACAGACCCAGCACCAGGCTCTGCGGGAGTGCTGCCACCAAAGGACCGGCAGCTCTTCCTCCAGACACGCTATGCTGCAAGCTTGGCTGGAGCCCACTCTCCACTGAACTTCTGCTTGGCAGCTAACTCGCTCCTGGAGGACTTACTTCTTTGGAGACACAGAGTCTTCCAGCATGGTGGACTCCTCATCCCCCTCTAGTCCAAAGTGGTCTTTGCTCT